ACCTCCCCACCTAATCTTAACAAAACCCTCTAACTAACTACTCCCAGTCTTCATGTGCTCCCAAGAGTCAAGCCCTTTGAAGCACCCAAATACCGCTGGCGCAGAACCGAACAAACAGCTCGGAACTAACACCACGGCAGTGCACTCAACCCAGGAGACACACAAAAATAATAAATTAAAACAAAAAACGCAAAACCTTGCTACAACCTAACTGGGGAGCATAAAGAAACACACAGTCATTAAACCGCAAGAACTTACCCTTTCAGAGCTGACCAAAATACGAACCCACGCTCCAAACCAATCTTTCCGCCTGCTGGTCTCTCCCACCTAATTAATCAAACGAATAAAGTTTAACATTAAACCAAATCAAACAAATTTAAATTGGACGAGCCCCCATATGTTACACCTGGCTCAAAGATGTAACATTAAGGGAGACGACAAGGTCGGAATAACTTAACATAATATTTATTACAACGAAATATAACCAAAATCAACAATCACAAAAGTCAGTTGGCCTGTCAGTAATATCAGTCAGTATGAAATGCAGGTGAATGGATGCACAAGTGAAGTGTGGTCAGCGCTAGTGAATGGATGCAAAACAAAACATAACGCCACAATTGGAGCACGGCTCTGGCAAACTGCTCGAGCAAACAAACGAACTCTCGCGCCAGGTTTAAATACCAGCCATGACGAGCATCAGGTGCGCTCCAGTCACACTCCAATCATAGAACCCATCACAAAGAAAAAGAGACCAAAACACCCAAACCAACACAACTCAATCCTAACAATTGTAATAATGTTTCACTGTTTTAGCGCATAACGCGAATCATCATTCAGATCGGGACTTCGGAGCGTGGATCGCAAATCTTTTTTCTGATTTTTTTTTAATAAACAGTACAAACATCAAACCATTAAGACAGTACAGTTACAACAACAAAACAAAGAAAAAAAGAATGCACAAATACAATTCCCTTAATAAAATTAACCATGGCTTTATTATAGTAACAAAGCATATTGTTATTTGCATAGTGCATATTGATTACCATTTGTATAACCACAGTTTTACTACAAAAACTATGGTTAGTGTAGCAAAACCATGGTTAATTTCATGAGGGATGTGTTGCCAGGTAAAAAAAAAAATGTAATGTACACCTTAAGAGGACACATGAATACAGAGATGCAGTTTTCACTGCTTTAGGATGAACAGAGCTTTGGATAGTTTCCATATACTCGTCTAGAAAAGAGAGGTTTAGAGCCAGATTTTTGTTTATGCATGTGAAATTTAGCTAGCAGGAAACACAATTAAGTTATATTTTCCTATATTCCCTTTTGAGTCAAACAATCCAAAGAAAACATCTTTAAAACAGAAAGAAAAGTCACTTGCAAGAATGTATCTGTGTGTGTACAATACAAGAAAAACAGCAACTCACTTCAATATCTGACTTATATTATAATTACATCCATAAGCTTTTTGTGAAATTTGGAGGAACTCATTAATCTGTTGCATGACCTCTTCATATTTAAGGAGGGAACTATTTAGTTTCAGACATTGCTTATGATTTTGTTCATAAATAGCAATGCTAGCGCACCTTCACGTTCACCATCAGGATCCTCTCTGTTTCTCTTTTGCAAATAAAGCACATGAACCAGTTTGTGTTACTAATGTCTAAAACGGGAGTTGTTGTTCTTAAAATCACTGAGAACATTTGATTTTTTTTTGCATTGTAAATTAAGAGCTCTGTGATTAACAGTCGATCAGAATTAATGACAAACTCTGATTTACTGGATTATGGATAATGTTCTTATTGCACTGGATCGAGAAACTAATTAATCAGAAACTCTGAATAATTCATAGTTTGCAATGCATTAATTACAGATATTATTAGCTTGATTATTTGGGGTTTTCTGGAATACGTCAAAGCTTACCTGATTCTGAAGAGCAGATCTTGCACTCATTCATGACACAAAGACCATTTCTTATTCAGAGTCCTGGTTTATCCTGGTCTTTTCCTGGTTCTTCACTGGTTTCCATGCAGTTATAGAGACACAAAGGCTGTCCAATAGATATAAGAGAAATAACACACAGACAACACAAAACAGCTTCTGACACAACGAGAGATCAATATATGTGACCCTGCAGCACAAAAGCAGTGTTAAGTCGCTGGGGTATATTTGTAGCAATAGCCAACAATACATTGTATGGGTCAAAATTATAGATTTTTCTTTTATGCCAAAAATCATTAGGATATTAAGTAAAGATCATGTTCCATGAAGATATTTTGTAAATGTCCTACCGTAAATATATCAAAACTTAATGTTTGATTAGTAATATGCATTGCTAAAAACTTCATTTGGACAACTTTAAAGATGAATATTTAAGAAAAATATGTTATGTTTATATATTAAATATATATATAAATAATATAAATATATACATATATGCATGTAAATATTTTCAAAATATATACATGCATGTGTGTGTATTTATATATACATAATAAATATACACAATACGCACACATGTATTATGTAAACAAAAACTTTTATTTTGGATGCGATAATTTGCGATTAATCGTTTGACAGCACTACATTTTTTAAATTTTTTTAAAATTTTATTACAACAAAATGACTAACACTTCAACAAAAAAAAAACTGAAATTAAACTGAAATGAGAAATTTTAAACAACAACAACAACAACAGTAATAGTATCTGAATATTCTTCAGGGTTAGTAAAGGACGTTCCTTTAATGTCCAAACATTAGAAAATAACATCAGGTTGTGGGTTGTATTCCCAGTGAATGCATGAAGGCAGTATAATTAGTTTGTGTATAAATGCATGAGTGTAAGTGTGTGACGGACTCACGGTCCATGAGCGAGCGCAGGTTTTGTGCGTCTGCTGCGGCGCTGCTGTGCCACTGGTTGAGCAGGACAGAATGAACCCCGCTGAGAGTGAAGAGATACGCCGAGCCGAGCGGACCGTCTGAAGCCCGGCTGGACCGTCTGAACAAAGTGAAGCTCACAGTGAACCAGAGAGAAAACATTCTCACAAAGCCAAGAGACGAGGATGAAAAAGTGTTTTTTGTCATCCTGGAGTTGATCATATTTGTATGCAAAGTTGCAATGCAATGCAAGAAGATTTTTTCATTTAAACACAGAAAATAAGACAACATTTTTCAGATTCTTGACTATTTTTAGTCCACTAATCTATTGTAATTGTATCTGTGACACTGGAGACGCTGCAGACTCTATGAAATCAGAACGGCGTTTGCATCTTTAGCTTGGTGTCGATGATCTCGGAGCTCATCTATATGCTAATGTTCTGCTAACAGCTAACAAAGATAAACCTCTAACAGAAATATGCATTTATCACATTTGCTGCATTAATCTGTCCATGCTTGATCTGGATTTGGTGCAAATGCCCGAGTAAAGAGCGCTGAAGCACAGTTTATTAAGGGTTATTATACTAAAACTAAAACCATAAAACATTTTAGTTACTTGAAATAAAATTAATGTTAACTGAAATGCATAACAATATATAAAAAACATTTTATTTCAGGTTAGTTGCCAAGGCAACTTTAGTAACAATTGATTTTACAGTGTCCTGGTTACGCATGTAACATGCACTTAATATTATAATAACAATAAATTATGCATAATTACATGCAAGTAACCCTAAGCCAAACACGAATCCTAACACTAATAAGTACATGTAGGTAATTAATATTACTCAGTACTTAAATGTATAATTATTACACTGTAACAAGGACACCTTAAAATAAAGTGTAACCGCAACTTTTCTCATTTTTATCTAGTTTAACTTTAAGTACTAAAATAAAATAAACTATAAAAAGAATATAACTATAAATATAAATAGTTATAAAAATAACTATAAAATATATACAGATATATTAAATAGCTATAATAAAAATGACAAAAACACAGCAAAAACTTTAAAATTAAAATTAAATAAAAAAAAACGCAAAATATAACAGAAAAATATAAAAATGGAAAATATAAAAATAAAAACTAATAAAAAACTATATCCTTACCAGTGTACTTTTATTATTATTATTATATTTTTTGTATTAATAGTTTCAATTATTTATATTTTATTTTTCATTTTCATTTTGTCATTTTTTATTAGTCTATTTAGTTTTTTTCCATCAAGTTAAACTAAATGAAAACGAGAAAAGTTGACTGCAACTACCAGAAATAAAATAAGTTAAAGTTTCATATATTCTCATTTTTATTTCAATTAATATTTTAATGGTTTTGCTTCTAGTTATATCTAATACTACTGATAATACCATTTGCAATGGCAAACTTGGTATTGAATTAGTAAAGGCCAACAGAAGCAGTGGCCTCGATCACCCTCAAGAGATCAATAAAGTACAAATCAATAAATCACACACAATAATTCTGTTCCTCTGACTATTTTCAAGGCAAAATCCATGAGATGCCTTCTGGTCATCACTGAATGACTGTACAGTATAAACTGTGTTTCACCTCTTCTGGATGCTGACTCTGTTCGGAACGCTTTCAAAGAGAAAAACCATCTGACATCCTGCGGAAAAACCAGCACAGAGAGAACAATTAAAACAATAAAGCATTAGTACATGACAAAGCAACACTCAGCATGACGTAAAAGCACAGCTGTGATTGATCTGAAACCCTGAAGAACGGCTCTGTGAACGCTGGAAACACTCATTACACGGAGTTGTTTTGTGGACAGAACGGCCGTCTGTTGTGTGCTGAGTGGATTAAAGCGGTTCCCTGCGGACGCCTGCTGTTCCTCTCAGTGATCCAGAGCTCTGATCTGTGACCGACTGACTCAGAAGCGACCTGCATGCACACTTCACACAGCTTTAGCGTCTCACGGTGGATCCAGATGCTGATTTATCATGTGCAGAAACTCACAGAAGGCACTTCAGACTGTATGGTTCATTTCATCTTTATGTAGTTCTTGTACGTGTCAGATGTCATTGTACACAACAATATTCAAAGGTCCGTTCCTCCACAACTTTCACAGTTTTAATCTGCAGATGCTCCTGGCTTCTGTGCATTACATTTCAAGAGTTTAGAAGTTTAAAGGGATAGTTCGCCCAAAAATGAAAATTCTGCCATTAATTACTCACCCTCATGTCGTTCCAAACCCGTGAGACCTTCGTTCATCTTCGGACACAAATTAAGATATTTTAGATGAAATCCGAGAGCTCTTTAACCCTGCATAGACTGCAAGGATTCTTACACGATCAACGCACAGAAACATAGCAAGGACATCGGTAAAATAGTCCGTGTGACATCAGTGGTTCAACCGTAATATTACAAAGCTACGAGAATACTTTTTGTGCGCAAAGAAAACAAAAATAATGACTTTATTCAACAATTTGTCTCCTCCGTGTCACCCTATAGCGCCATTTTGGAGAGTCTTACAGGTTTGGAACGACATGAGGGTGAGTAATTAATGACAGAATTTCAATTTTTGGGTGAACTGTCCCTTTAAGAGCTGAAAGTTCATTGACTTTTTGACTCAGGATTAAAGATACAAATATTTTTACTCCCAGTTTCTACTGGATAAAATATATTAGAAAAATGTATACTCTTTATAAAATTGCTCATGCTGTTTTAAAATGGTATTAATTCCCATGACTTCTTTCCAGCTCTAGAAATCATGCTTTTAAAAAGAGGCTATCCAGGTTTTCCAAGAACGTATTAATCCTGGTTAGTTGCTAAATTTATATCCTCAAATTTTAGCTATGTAAAATCTTTTAGTGCAACTTCTTTGTAATTGTTTATTATTATTTGCAATGCATTTTTAAACATTAGGAGTGATGTTTTATTTTTAAAATGTTTATCTATGCCATATGTAGCTAATTCTGGGGCATCCATGGACTCTCCATCATCCCTTTGAAAACAAACAAACAAACAAGAACAAAAGTGTGTGAGTGTGTGTGTGTGTGTGAGTGTGAGTGTGTGTGTGAGTGAGTGTGTGTGAGTGAGCGTGTGTGTGTGTGCGTGAGTGAGTGAGTGTGTGTGTGTGAGTGTGAGAGTGTGTGAGTGTGTGTGTGTGTGTGTATCTAAAGTGTCCAATGAAAAATTGCAATGAGACAAAATACATATATAAATAAATAAATTTAAATTAGTGTAACTTCAACAGGCCAGCTTTTAAAATAAAACTCTGCAAACATTTAGAAACCAGGAATACAGTATGGCAAATAAATCAAGAGAAACGTCAATTAGAAATTTTTTTTGATTCAATACAGACGTGTTAATTATAAAAATAAGAAACACGCATTTGATTCCGGTAGAAGTTGATGTTAGCATGTTGTAAAAACAGCACAAACAAGTATTGGTTAAAACAAACTAATTTAAAGTAGTTTTTAAATTTTAGTTTCAAATTTCAGCGTTTCAAATTCAGTCACTTATGAGGAACCATATCACTTCAGATGCTTTAGTTTCCTAAATAATAGAATAAATCAGGTTATTTTTGTGTAACATACTGTAGCATTACAGATCCTAAAAGTCATGCAGAGGGCAGAGCGATTACGAACGTCTGTGAATGCTGTCAGATTGAACCTGCTGCTACGAATCAAACGAGCCGAATGATTTAGGGCATGAAAAACAAGCTTATTTTCAAAGAAATGCATCATGAATTTTCATATAATTGACAGATGCTTTAGTTTCCTTTAAAGGAATAAGAATAAATCAGGTTATTTTTGTGTAACATACTGTAGCATTACAGATCCTAAAAGTCATGCAGAGGGCAGAGCGATTACGAACGTCTGTGAATGCTGTCAGATTGAACCTGCTGCTACGAATCAAACGAGCCGAATGATTTAGGGCATGAAAAACAAGCTTATTTTCAAAGAAATGCATCATGAATTTTCATATAATTGAGAGTGATGGATTCTGGATGCTGATCTTCATCACCATCATGCTGCTTCGCTCTAACTCATCATCATCATCATCAGGTCTGTTGATGTTTTCATTAGCTGTATTTCCATGCAAATTAAATGCAATCGTGTGAGACGGTTTCATGCAATATCCCAAAATTTGCATAACAATAATGTTCAGTTATCAATATGTAAGTCATGTTCAGTTCCAATCAAAACCTTTAATAACAACATCACACCGACTGTTCAAACAACACCTGAGCTGCAGCAAGAACACTGATGATGGATGGAAAAACATGATGAATGAACAGCTGTAAAGGTCGAAAAGACAATAAACTCACACGCCTATAAAACAGAGTCAGCCGCTGACCGACTGAAGCCCACCGCCAACATATAAAACAACAATCACACAGGTAATAATGAACAGAGCGTGAGATTTATGAGCAGAGGGATGTGCTCCATACGCGAGGGTTTCTGCTGTGAACATGTCAAATGTGTGATTCTGCACATGTTTGGTTCATCTTCTAATTATTGATCCTGCTCAGATTGATCTGAATTTGATCTCAATTTATGTGAGAATATCAGTATTGTAGCCAAATCTGAACACATGTAAGGAGCTTTGAAAATGGTGAGAGACCAGAGCAGCGTATGAAAGCAGATCTTCAAAGCATCAGCGCTCGTGTACAGACGCACTGATCAGAGAAATATCAGGAAGAAATCAAACATTTATTGTTGTAAAATGACTCCGCATACAGTTCACGGCAACACATGCTGCTGAGAACAAAGAGGAGGCTAACTAAATCAAACGTGTGAAGCGGCAGGACAGATCTGCGGGAGCTTCCTAAATATGTTTTGATAATTGTGTTTCCCACTAAGTTTCTGTGCCTGATTCGATTTGCACTACAAGAAGTGGACGCTCATTTCATTTATCGACCAAATGCTGCAATATGTGTTTCAGAAGCACTGATTTTAACAGCCCGATAACTCAGAAATGCTGAGAGTGCAATACTATAATAAGAAACACACAATACAGTGCATTAGTATGCAAAACAAAACATTATGCAACAACAAATGTTTCAAGCTGTAGCATGCCAAATTAATTCAATGTTATCTTGCATTTTAATCAAAATCGGAAAAAAAAAATGTGTTTGGCCTGCGTCCATGAAAAAAAAAAAAAAACCTATTAAGTTAAGTTTTTTTTCCACAAAATAAGAATGTAGATTTATCCAACTTTAATGCACTTATCAAAACAACAAAAAGAAGTATCAAAGGGTTTGTTTTAATGACAAACTAGTTTTCAAAATGTATCAATTAGCTTAACGATTTGCAAAAAAGTGGAAAAACACAACCTCGCAAAATAAGCTTTTCCCACAATATCTGTGATTTTCTGTTTGGATGCAGTAAAACACCCACAGATGAAGCAGAAATCATGCGTTTTCTTTAAAAACACAAATGGTTGCATTTTCTTCAGTGTCTGGCCATGATTCAGAACTAGACATCAAATAATGTCACGCATGTGAAAACGGGCTGAGAACTGATCAAAACTTGCTTCCTAAATATGTTTTGATAATTGTGTTTCCCACTAAGTTTCTGTGCCTGATTCGATTTGCACTACAAGAAGTGGACGCTCATTTCATTTATCGACCAAATGCTGCAATATGTGTTTCAGAAGCACTGATTTTAACAGCCCGATAACTCAGAAATGCTGAGGGTGCAATACTATAACAAGAAACACACAATACAGTGCATTAGTATGCAAAACAAAACATTATGCAACAACAAATGTTTCAAGCTGTAGCATGCCAAATTAATTCAATGTTATCTTGCATTTTAATCAAAATCGGGAAAAAATATTTTTTTGGCCTGCGTCCTGAAAACCCCCCCCCCTAATATTACATATATTGATGATGCTGAGTTCAAATAAATATATATATATATATATAAAACACTTTCCATAATTAAGTTAAGTTTTTTTTTTCACAAAATAAGAATGTAGATTTATCCAACTTTAATGCACTTATCAAAACAACAAAAAGAAGTATCAAAGGGTTTGTTTTAATGACAAACTAGTTTTCAAAATGTATCAATTAGCTTAACGATTTGCAAAAAAGTGGAAAAACACAACCTCGCAAAATAAGCTTTTCCCACAATATCTGTGATTTTCTGTTTGGATGCAGTAAAACACCCACAGATGAAGCAGAAATCATGCGTTTTCTTTAAAAACACAAATGGTTGCATTTTCTTCAGTGTCTGGCCATGATTCAGAACTAGACATCAAATAATGTCACGCATGTGAAAACGGGCTGAGAACTGATCAAATACTTGTAATCTAGCTCAGATTCAGACAGGAATCGTGTGTTTTCTGCTGAAATATTCATTTTCATTTATTTTACAGTGCAATTGTCTTACAATGCATGGCTATTACTGTCATTGTTGTTATTATTATTATATTCTAATCTGTTTGGCTTCCTAAAACAGCAGTGTGAATGTAATTTAGACTGAGACAGTACACCACAAATTAAAAGAGGGTTGAGTCCTCTCTAAAGTTCAGCTACGAGTCAATTCACTGACTTTCTTCTGACTTTAGTTTTAGTTAAGAACATGGGTTTCAGCTCTTAATTTTGAACTCTCAAAGTGCACTAGATAGAATAATTTAACTTTCAAATGTGCAAAAATTGTAATTTTTTCCAATTCTTCATTTGCCTTTTTTTTTTAAAATATCGCAATAAATATCATATTGTGGGCTTCATATTGCGATATTATCGTATCATGAGATTTTGATATCGTTACATCCCTAATGAACTCTAAACTTTAGTTCTTATTTTCTATTGGATTCAAGTGATTGGCTGAGCCATTCTAGCAGCTTTATTTTCTTTCTCTGAAACCAATCGAGAGTTTCCTTGGCTGTGTTTGGGATCATTGTCCAGCCTTGTTTTATCTTCATCATCCTGGTACTGTAGGTGTTGAGACTGAAGCAGCTAACATTAATTCCCACTGACGAAGAGCAGGATTGCTTTCTAATTACTGATAGATTTCAGCTGGAGTCTTGGCTTTCCATGCCTTTTTGCACCTCCCTTTCTTCATGTGTTCAATACTTTTCCTCGTGTCATTCCACTTTATTACACAGAACTTTATGCAAACTGTTTTCTTTGCATGTATGGAGTTGTTATCGACATCTGGTGAAAATGTCATGCCAACAGCACCTTTAGAACTATATTTACTGAGAAAAATGCTGACATATTTTACCCGCTGTATATCAATGAAACTGAAATCCCACTTTTACCGGACATGTTGAGGGAGGCCATCTTGGCCGGTGGGACGCAGGAGAAGAAGTTCTCCGTGCCAGAGTAAATAAAAGCGCTGCAGGACATCAGCATCTGCTCGAGATCTGCGAGACTGAGAGAAGAGCGTCACTTTCACACATTAATACTCAAGACAAAAACCAGCTCCTATAAATATGTTTCACAGGAGTGTGAGGAGAGTTTGAGAGAGATTCAGACCTGCGTTTGCGCTCGTGGCCGATGAATCCTTCCCACAGAGGTGTAAATTGCGAAGCGTAGGTGTCGAGGGTCTTCCTCATGATCTCTGCTGCGCTGCTGTGATCTGAACAAACCAGGCCAGATGAAAGGGTTAAATTTAACTGCGTCATCATTTACTCGCCCTCGTGTCAAATCAGACCACTTTGAGATTTTGTGAACAATTTTTGTGAAAAAGTGACTCTCTTCCATACAATAAAATCAAAACAGTGATGGACACACCATGTCTGAATATGCATAAGACTGAATGAGTTACGACAGAGCTCTTGCATAAACATTATGTTTATGTAAAAATCTCAAATTATGTCTTTTCTCAAAAAAGTCTCAAATTAGACCAATTTAAAGGGGTCATATGATGCTGCTAAAAAGAACATTATTTTGTGTATTTGGTGTAATGAAATGCAACTGATTAAAAAGGTCTTACAGAACAAAATCAGATGACTCAGTAAAAGCAGCTTATGCAACATGCCACTGAATAAGAGCAGAATAGTCTGGGGTTGGTAAGTTTTTTAATGTTTCTGCTCACCGAGGCTGCATTTCTTTGATCAAAAATACAGTAAAAATTGTGAAATATTATTAAATGTAAACCATGACACGTTTTATTTTTCAGGATTCACAGATGAATAGAAAGTTCAAAAGAACAGCGTTTATTTGACTTAGAGATTTTTTGTAACTTTATAAATGTTTTTACTGGCACCTTTGATCAATTTAACACATCCTATCGTGAATAATTCATCAGTGCATCATTTGTCTTCATAATGTTTTTTTACTCAGAAATGTCACATTACAGAAGCTAAAACTAATTCCACTCACCAGCCTGCTTTCCATCATCTTCCTCCTGAGCATCAACTACATCTTAAAGCCTGTGTTAAGAATACATTTCTCCAAACTATTAACCATGTTCAGTCACTTTGCAAGCAGCTAATGCAATAAAAGCGAGCCGAAATGCAATGCAGCAGCCGAATGACTGCTCTGACATCTCACATACATCCCAGACGCCCGTGAGATGGAAAACTAAGGTGGTTTAAAGCGAAGGATACATCTGAATCTGTGTGTGTCCACTGGGATGCTGTTTGGCGGCAGGACACGATTGACCGGCACCTGCAGAAGAAAGTGCATCCTTAAAGGTCACTGTATGCGAACTGAAGATGAGAATGTCGGACGGCGTACTCAGGGAAAACACATTATATAATTGACCGAAAGAGGCCGGTTAAAAGGGAAGGATGGAGAAATTAAACCTCTGAACGAGTGAAGGCCGCTAAAGCAATACTGCATTTCTATCAGCATCCGCCAGACTCATTTAGAGACTCACCGCTTTGATGCCTCGGCTTTGATCGCCTCTCCCCTTGACTCCTCTGCCACCTTTGGCTTCCTTTTTATTGTCACTTTCAACTGTGACCAACGAGAAAGATTATTAAAACAAGAAATGAGTGTCTGACACAAACAAGCGCTGTGCCAAACTCGGCCTAAAAAGGCCAGTGGCATTTAATATTGACAACTGTGTTCGCTTGTACTTCAGTAATGCAAATTTTAACGACCTCCAGCAAAAGTCACGCAAACACAATCAACACAATCACATTAAAATGTGAATTTCTTTGATCCTGTGAGGAAACTCAGACATGCAAACCGTTTACTCAAATAATAACAGGGTGCATGTTATTGCCTGATCAATTTCAATCGGGGCGTATTAAAGCCAACATGCAATCAGGAAATGTTCTGCTACAAATCGAGTCATTCATTTGAAAACATGTTAAACAAATGGTATTTGCAAATCCAGAGGCATAATTTTATTACAGGAAAATTTCATGCAAAAATAAAAATGTCTCCCCCTCAGGCCGCCCCAGATGTAGATGCGTTTGTTTCTTCATCAGGTTTGGAGAAATGTAGCATTGCATCAGTGTCTCAGCAGTGGATGGGTGCCGTCAGAATGAGAGTCCAAACAGCTGATAAAAACATCACAAGTAATCCACAGCACTCCAGTCCACCAGTTAACATCTGGAGAAGACAAAAGCTGAAACAAATCCATCAAGACGTTTTTAACTCATTCTGACGGCACCCATTCACTGCAGAGCATCCATTGCTGAGACACTGATGCAATGCTACATTTCTCCAAATCTGATGAAGAAACAAACTCATCCTAATCTCGGATGGACTTATGGTGAGTTAATTTCAGCACATTTTCATTTTTAGATGAACTATTCCTTTAAGCACAACCCAAAGAATGAAACGTCAGCAAAAGTGTTATGAACACTTTCAAAAACTCCAAAGACTACAATGACAGAGGAAGAATGAAAAGATAAATAGAGAAACACAGACACACAAACAATGACTGGTGAAGATGGAAAATATAATGCACAAAACCTCATTAAAGGACAAGAGAAGAAAAGTGCTTGAAAAACATGCTGCGTTTGTGCCAGTTATAAATAACAAGGAAAATAAACTTTGCTAACAGCATGAATAAGATTAGTATAATATTGAATTTCCTCATTGTACGCTCAATGTTTTGTGCAAAATATGTCGCAAAATAACAAATAGCTCCTTTAGTAAGTACCATGTGGCTCTACGTCTTCCCGACATAATGCTAAAATAATGCATAATGTGCTTTTTTGCTTTCATATGAGCATGAACACACGTAAGTGTGAGTGGACTGATATTATACACCCTGAAACAGGACTGTACAAAATCACACTGAAAAATACAAGCGCAGTCATTTGCATATGGCATTTTAGTGCTGAGGTCTGGAGAACTGGGGCATAATTATTCAAAGAAAAAGATAAATGTTAAAAGTTAAAGTTAACATTCCCATTAAATATTCAAATCCTTTTCACAGACGTCCAGACGCACCTATAATGATCAACATCAGAGTCATAGAAAGTGTGAGTAAAGCAACAGCTGAGAAACATCATTACTGTGACTCCTTTAGACATGATGCTGATCTTTCATAAATTGCTTGTGAGCACGTTTCAAACAGGTTTGTCATTGAGTATTTCATGCTAGTAATATTTAAGGCTGTTATTATTCACTGTACTGATCTTCAACTTCAACCCCAACCCCAAAACGTCCTGAGTCACGGCATAAAACATGCTTTGAAAGAGAAATGTTACTGGATATTGATATTTCATTTTAATTACAATGTGTGTTGGCACAAAAACACTTGCTGTTGAAGACATAATAAATATCTGTCTGACTTTTCCTTTTGTTGACATGGTTAGATTCAGATGGTTAATATCATTGGGTTTCCAGCTTAGAGATAATCAGCATATTTACAATGAAACCATCTTATTTAAAAATATGATGTATTTATGTATTTATTGTTACTACTGTAAAGCCACATTCAATTATGGGATCTCCATCAAAGATTTCAGAATGTTTACTTTTTAATAAACTTTTTACATTTTACATTTTAGTAAATGATATACTATTTGTACAAATAACTGCATCTGCTCTTTGAATAAAATAAAATTATATATAAATATATATATATACACACATACACACACATATATATATATATATATATATATAGTATATAATTTTATTAAAGTTTTTAAACATTTTACTAAAGTATTAATTTAGATTTTATGCAAAACATTACTTTTATTATTTTATTTATATGATTTATAAACGGAAAAAAAAAACACTTTTCTGATTTATTTTTCCAATACAATGTGTTGCTTGATCAATGCAAACAAAAATAAATAAATAAATAAATAAATAATTGCAATCATAGACATAGACAATCATAGATCAGTTTTTATTTTATTTTCCATTTTCATTTTAGTTTCTTTTTTTTTTAAATGCACACATTAGTTTAATTCATTTTTGAGTTTTAGTTGTAAATGTTTTTGATGGTTTGAAGTTTCAGTTAATTATATGTGCTGTCATAAAAATTCTAAGAACTTTATAATATTTATAATAAATATATATATAAATATAAATAAAATCACTAGAACATAAATAAATAACAAATACAAACGGCACTGCTTCCAGTGAAGGAGCAGCGTATGTACATATAATGTTCCTGTGGCTCAGTGGTAGAGCATTGCGTTAGCAGCGCAAAAGGTTGTGGGTTCAATTCCCAGGGAACACACATACTGGTAAAAAATGTATAGTCTGAATGCACTGTAAGTCGCTTTGGATAAAAGCGTCTGCTAAATGCATAAATATAAATATATATAGTGAATAAAGGATATTTCTGTTTCAGTAGCGACGGACATTCACGGCACTCTACAGGTAACAGTAAGAATTAAATGCTATTTAATGCAAGTCCCAGACAATGCACTGGTGTGAAATCACCTTGCCTAAAGGCACAGCGGTGGAACTACTGCCACTGGGGATCGAATCCACGACCTTCTGTGTCTCGGCCCATTTCTCAATCCATGAGGCTCCTGCTGCCCCGTTTATGAGGACCTACTTGTAGAGCGTGGCCTAATTATTCTGTGAGTGTGGCTATTTTCTGCCTGATTTCTGTCTCGGACATTGTATATGTGATAACCGCGTGACGATCGGCAGATCTGAGATGTTCTGAGTGTGTCGGACGGTAAAGCAGATGATAAACCTGTCCCGTGAGGTCCATCAGTCATATTGAGCTGAAGACTCACACACATTCAGTCCAGAACTGCCCTCAATATCACTCTCACTAGGGCTGGGTAAAAATATTGATATCTCGATATTAATCGATTCTCATTTTTATATTGGATGGGAAGTGCGATATTAATCGCACTTCCCATCCAATATATCGCAATAAGCATTGTGCTTTGGTGCTTTTAATCTTATATTTAAAAAACAAACAAACAAATTGAAGTAGAAATATTATTATGTAATTGTAACTTTATTATTTCAAAAACTTCATTAAGTGTAATTTTAACAAATCAGTCAATTTTAAGCTTCAATATGATATTAATGTAGTGCCAAATGACTCTCATGTATATTTTGCAGCATTAGTTGAGAGATTTGTTTTCCTTGAGAAAATTTGGCATGTACTGTACCTGATATATATCCAAAATAATTTATATTGAATCGAATCGAATCGCAAGCTTGTGAATGAGAATCTAATCAAAACGTGAAATTTGTGTCAAAACCCAGCCCTGACTTAGTTTCTTTCTCATCACTTTTCACTATTCAGAGGATCTGTTCTCTTCTTTAACACGGTTGAAGTTTAAATGTGTTTGAATCAGCTTTTCAAGTTTTCTGGATCAGAATGATCTGGATTTGGAAATCCCTTGTTTTTCTATGCAGGATCAGGTAATCCACTTTTTTTTTTTCTTTTCAAAGCAACATTAGATTGGATGACCCTGATCCAGATACAAACTTTTCCAGATTACCAAATCCAGATTTCCAGTGCTCTAAATGTGACTACTAGTGTTTGGATCTGAAGACATAGAAAATAGCTCAATAAAATCATACAAACATCCGTCTTCATTTTCAATTTCATCTGACCAACAACAAATAAAAAATATAAAAAAATCTAAATACACAAAATACATTATACATAAATATACATTAATAATAAGGGATGCAATTTTTATAAACCACTTTCGACTGGTTTAATTAATATAAATGGATAAACGTGAGTTAAAATGAAATATATTATTTTTGTTTGATATTGACATGCCAAAATCTTTATTTATTTATTTATTTTTTTTAAACTGTCAAATATTACTTTGAATCATGTAATACATGCATACACTGAAACAAATGATACTAATTTTTTTAAGGTAAGTGGTTGCAAACAATTTATTTTAGCTACATTTAACAAAAAAATTTGAAAGTTAGTCAACTAAATTTGTTTATTTAAATGTAGCAAAAAAAAACATGAATGATACCACTTACCTTACAATTGTTTTTGTAAATTCAATTAATCATTTTTTTCAGTGTAAAGTACATAAATACATACATAAACACATATGCATACATATATATGCATACATATATATATTCACACATACACACACTCTCACACACACACACACAAATCCTTTTTCTTTTTTCTTTTCAACAACCCATTTTCAAGATTTGATCCAATCCGAGAGCCAAAATCTGAATTTAGATACAACAGTGAAAAGTAAAGCTCCTGATCCGACCCTCAAATGTTCCAGGTAATGGGCTGAATGAAGTGTTTCGTTTGTCAAGTGTGTTTGCAGTGAGATCCAGACATGTGAAGTGTGAGTTTATTGGCACGTCTCACAGCCCTAAACCGTGCTTTCCTTTAATCCCGTCAGCCCTCGACGGGTAAGAGCGCTCACAAAGCCTTCGAGTGTCGGCCCGTTTAGTTTTTAATTTGTCGATTTACACGCAGAAGCCGAGCACGAGTTAAAAATGAATAAATTAATTACGCAAATAAAAATGTAAAACATGTCCCGAATGCAACGGCACATTTGAATTTTAAAGAGATTACAGGTCATAAATCCTGACAGAGCATTTCCTATTAGACGAGTCCTGAATGAAGCTGATTAAACTCCGACAGAAATAGCACTGGATGTGTTTAGCTTTCTGCCTGTCGTCATTTTCCTTCTTTATCTTTACTGCATTCAGGGACTTACAAACTTCTGAAAACAGAACTCAGAGACATGAGAATATGAAGAATTATTCAGCCGATTCCCAGAAACGAGTGAAGGTCAGTTCAGGATGTTTACTGTTCATTGTACTCTAGTTTTACACTATTATATTGAAAACATCCCACAGATGATTTCATGATGCTATTTTTGACACAAAACACACTTTTCTAGAAAACATTTGAGAATAAAGAAGCTTTGAAATGCTAAATCTTCACTGAAAATTGACAAAAAGTGTCATTTTGTGTTTGTGAATGTTATGAACTACACACTGCATACTTTAATGGATTTACTAATTAATGAGTGAGATATAATCAGACGCAACGTGTCAGATATATTCGTGTTTGATTGATTGATGCATGATTTGTCATTACCAGGCCTAGAGGGAATCTGTGGAGTTTTTTGCATCTTCTGTGCTGATTTTGGAGGAAGATCTGCAGAAATACGCAAATTAAATATGCAAAAAAGCATTAAATGAAGCTGAGAATACTGCACTCTTATTGGCAGCTGAAAGCATTGTTTTTCTAATTACATTTTTTCTTACTAATCAATGAGTTTACAACTGTGAATATCAAATGTATTTATTTATTTATTTTCATTACATATATATTTTTTTTATGTATTATTATTTTTATTAATTTTACTGTATTAAATGACATTTAAATTCTTTTGTAAAATAATTACAAATTAATAATAAATCAAAACTCTTGTATGTTAAAAAATATTAACTAACAAAATATAGCTTACACACAAATATTTAAGGTGAACAAAGAAACAGATTACAATTAAAAAAACAAAAAGGCAATGAGGGCTTTTTCTCTTTACTTTCTGCATTATTTATATACTTAGTTGATGGTTTTGTGTGTTTATGTGTTTTTTGTGTGTTCGTGTGCACACAATTTAACCATGCATATGTGAAAAAAAAAACTATGCTCAGAAATGATTAAGACTTTGTTGAAAATAAATGCATTAAAGCATCGTTTTTCTCTCACATCTAATACTTAACTAGTCATTTATCTTTATCCAAAGTGACTTACAGACACATTCTCTGCTGGAGGAACTTGAGATTTTGCATGATTGTGATTCATGAATCAGACTATAGAGGTAGGGATGCACCGAATGTTTGGCAACCGGAATTATTCAGTTAATAAATTGTACCGATTAATGCTGTGACGTGATTAAATAGAGGCGTGCACTAATGCAGCAAACATGTGGGCAGTGTGGAAGCTTTTAAAACTGTCAGAGAAAGATGTAAAATCATTACAGCACTGACAGCGAGAGACTGTTTAGCTCTGCATCACATGTCTCCGATGAGAAGAGGAAGGGTGGTTGTTTCTGGTTACTGTATGATGAGTGAAATCGCCAAATAGCCTTAAACTAATAATTAAATACATTTTTACAAGGCATGGATGTGATAATGTGATACATGCAACAAACATCTTCCCAAATGCTTAATGAGAATCTTTTATAAATCTGCTGTTGTCAACAAAAAGAAGCACTGAGGTCTTCCTGCGGGTTTCTGCCAAAATAAAAGCTCCATCAACATTCATAAATGTTAGTTTCGTAATTTTACTGTTGTTCTGTAAAATAAAATAAAAAAGTAAGACAATAATAATTACAACAGCTATATTAATACATTTTTTTATATATATATATATATTTAAAATTAACGTTTTAAAAGAATTATCTTCTGCTCAGCAAGGCTGCATTTATTTGTACAGTAAAACATACATGCCAGATTCAAGAAGGGGGTCTCAAAAATTACCCCAAAAATTATTTTACTAACTTATTAATTTTAAGTTAAACTGTTCTTTGTTGCTATAATGTTGGCATAATTTTGTTTTTCATTTCGGTGCATCCCTATAAACAGGGTTTGGAACAGCTTTCAGGCAGCATCTTTAAGCTCCATCAATGCATCAGAAGATAGAGATAGATGGTGTTCAGTGTGAACTCACCTGCTTCATCCGTCTGCAGTCGTGCGTGAAGAACCTGCAGAGAGAAATCTCGAGAGACGGAGCCGATGCCCTTCGCCTGCAGGACGCTCAACGCTTCTAACGGAAACTCCAACAGCGTCCGGTCAGCGAGAATCACCACAGAATCACCAGCATCTACAGAATACACACACACACACATGTTGGTTTTTATGGTTTATGAGGACTCTCCATAGGCGTAATGGTTTTTATACTGTTCAAACCGTATATTCTATTGCCCTACACCAACCCTACCCCTAAACCTACCCCTCACAAAACAAACATGTGAGATGAATGTAAAATGCAGCTGGAGGTTTGATCGTTCGAGTCAAAAACGAAAAGTGGTTTTGAAGCATCAAAACAATAAAAGTTTATTGCAGCTTTTTTTTTCATAAATTAGAATGTGTCCGGTTTAAATTAAAAAAAAAAAATTCTGAGCAAAACTAACAACTATCGTACATTTTTACCATGATTTACAGAAGAAAATGTCATTTAGTATAACAATAGTTCATATACCAAAAAAATCTTGCCAGGCATATTTAGATCAAGAATCATTAGATGACATTAAAAGACTCTAAAAAGACTCTATAACAGATCCGCCATAAAATACTAATTAATTGTCATGTTAATTGTCATGTTATGCTTACCAAAACAAAAAATAAAATAATAAAATAATAATAGTAATAATAATAATAATAAATTAAATAATAATACAAATAAAAACCGTAAAAATAGTGAAATATTATTATAATTCAAAATAACTGTTTTCTATGTGAATATCTGTTAAACTGTAATGTATTTCTGTGATCAAAGCTGTATTTTCAGCATCATTACTCCAGTCTTCAGGGTCACATGATCTTCAGAAATCAGTATAATATGCTGATTTGCTGCTCAAGAAACATTTCTGATTATTATTATTGATGTTAAAAACAGTTAATACACCATTAATCTCCATTCTCATCATATTTCTATGGTCAGAGTGTGTTGGTGTTTGTGGGTGTTTTGTACCCGGCAGAGGTTTATCAGCAGTTTTCTCATCCTTGTCTTTGGCTCGGGCCGATGTGGTGGAGATGGACGGAGAGCGAACGCTGTGATAAGACAGAAGAGGAGAGAGAAGATGAGCGCAGACGAGAGACTGGTGCAAAAAACTGGTGCAAACAGAAGCCACAGTTATAGATGCATTAACTTGTTAGCAGTACAAACACCTGATAAACTGGTTAATTTTGTGCATGTGTGTTTTGGTACCTAAAGCATGAAAAGTCAAACTGAGAGAGAACGGGATTGAGGTAGTTCTCCATTTCCTCCAGCAGAGCTCTGAAACAATCATCCAGCTGTCCATCTTTATCTTCCTTTATAAAGAGAGTGAAAGAGGCCTCTGTGATATTGATGCTTTTCAGATATTGATGCTTTTCCTCTTCAAAGCATTTGTAGGTGCCAGCGTGTCTTACATGTGCTTGGTTCTGTCCGCAGCGGCGTGACTCTTTCAGACGCGTCTGTGCGTTCAGATCTTTCAACTCTTGCAGGAGTTTGTGGAGCTGCTGCAGATCTGAGCGACGAACGGACGCCTTGACCACCTTAGAGCAGATCAGACCACCTACAGAAACACACGCGTCACCAAACCCGTCCATAACACGAGCACAGAATGCATGCACTGACAAAAATAATAGGTGCACAACCAAAATACAGTTTTGTTCTCAAGTTAGTGAGACTTTTGGAAGAAATTAATACTTTTATTCATCAAGGATGCATTAAATTGATCAAAAGTGACAATAAAGACATTTATAATGTTACAAAATATTTCTATTTCAAATAAATGCTGTTCTTTTGAACTTTCAATTCATCTGTGAATCCTGAAAAAAAAAAAGGATCATAATTTCCACAAAAATATTGCGCAACTGGAAAAGATTGTTGCAGCTCAGGTACATTGCTCATCTTTCAGTGAATAATTTATATGAATAATTCCAATCAGGTTTTCGATCATGTCATAGTACTGAGCCTGCCCTTGTCAAAATGTCTAACGATTTATTGGTAGCGGCTGACTCAGGACTTTTATCGATTTTAATTCTTCTTGATTTAACTTCAGCGTTCAACACTATTTCCCATAAAATTCTATTAGATAGATTGCAGTCCATTGGAATCGTAGGCACTTCTCTGGCTTGGTTTACATCTTATCTCTCGGGTTGTACTCAGTTTGTTCAACTAGGTCAGTTCAAATCTAAGTAATCACATATTACTACAGGTGTCCCACAGGGTTCAGTTCTGGGCCCTTTATTATTTATCATTTATCTACTGCCCCTTCCCTGAAAAAAACATTTTCAGGGAATATGGTATACAGTTTCATTGTTGCGCCGATGACACCCAGCTCTTATCTGTCTGCAAAACCTTCTTCTAAACTTCCTCCATCTTCTCTTTCTAAATGTTTGTCTGAAGTTAAGGCTTGGTTTTCACGCAATTTTCTTAAACAGTAGTAAAACAGAAATACTTCTTGTTGGTACAAAAAATTATTTGTTGAATACCAGTGATTTTTCTATGTGTATCGATGGTTCTATAATCACTTCCTCAACACAGGTAAAGAGCTTGGGTGTTATCCTGGATAATACGCTATCTTTTGAAGCACATATTAATAAGGTTACTCGGATGGCTTATTATCATTTACGCAATATTAATCGCCTCCGCCCAGCCCTCTCAATGAGGAGCACTGCTACTATGGGCTATGCTCTTGTCACTTCACGAATTGACTATTGTAATGCTCTTTTTTATGGTCTTCCTGTTAAACTTTTACACAAGTTACAGCTAGTGCAGAACTCAGCAGCACGAATAATTACTAGAACTCCTACTATGGAACACATATCTCCTGTTCTTCAACAACTGCACTGGCTTCCTGTTAAACAGCATGCTGAATTCAAAAGTTTGCTTCTTGTTTATAAGGCATTACATAAACTGGCTCTTTCTTACTTATTTGACCTATTTTTAACATATACTCCCTCTCGAGCATTTAGATCATCATCTACGTTATCTTTAGTTCTTCCTCATACACATCTGGTTTCCATGGGCTCTCGAACTTTTAGCTATGCTGCTCCTTATCTGTGGAATTTACTTTACTTCCGAAACAGTGACTCTCTTCCCATTTTCAAATCTCGTTTAAAGACGCATCTTTTTAGGCAGGCATACCGCTGATTATTTTATGTTATTCCTAATGACTTTGAAGTGGGTTTGAATTTTATTGTTGCTTGTAACTGTTTTATGTGTTTTATTTGCATGTAAGGTGACCTTGAGTGTCATGTAATAAAATGTATTATTATTATTAACTGTTTTCAACATTGATAATAATCAGAAATGTTTCTCGAGCAGCAAATCAGTATATTAGAATGATTTCTGAAGATCATGTGACACTGAAGACTGCAGTAATGATGCTGAAAATACAGCTGCGCATCACAGAAATAAATTACAGTTTAACAGATATTCACATAGAAAACATGTATTTTAAACTGTAATAATATTTCACAATTTTAATGTATTTTTGATCAAATAAATGCACCTTGGTGAGCAAAAGAGACTTCTTTCAGACACATTAAAAATCTTACCAAACCCAAACTTTTGAACAGTAGTGTAGATCATAGAAAAGTGCAAAAAAACGAGGTGTAGAGCATGTACCTTAAAACATCAGATCTGTTTTGTAGAGCTCATTAAATGTTTTTGAGTAAAGATTTGTTTTGTAGAGCTCATTAAATGTTTTTGGGTGCAACAGTGCAGATACCGGACTTTTATTTGCATCTTTCTAGGTCATAATTCTAGGTCAAATAATTGTCATGAAAATAGACAACAACCGTGGTTCAGTCATGAAAACAGAAAGCCAAAAATCTAAAGTTTAAAAAAGGCTTCATTTTATTTATGCAAATGATCATTTATTTACCTTATTATTATTATTATTAGAAATGTGACCTAAACCTGTTTTTTTAAATGAGATTCACTTAAAAACTAAATCTGTGTCTGCAAATAAAGGAAAAAAATTGGAAAACAGTATTAAATGGAGATTAAATATAAACGTGAGTTGTATGGTTACCTGTCACACTCTTTCCTTTCTGATTCTCTGCGGCTTTAACCTTCTCATAAAGGCCGGCGTAAAGCACAGAACTACACAATGACAGAACAGACATGAGTTACACACAACTGCCGCTCCTCTGTGAGTGTGTGTGTGTGTTGTGTGTGTGTGGGGGGGGGAGTACAGAATGAGTACATTTAGTCACTTCAGACTCAGAGAGAGTTTTACTTCCACTGAGAATCCACTCAATGACTGATCACAGGTCTGACCACATGACCTCACACACACACACACACACACACACACACACACACACGTTTGTTTCTGTGAATTGTGGGGACTTTCCATAGACTTCTTGATTAGATTAATTCTAGATTCATTTTATACTGACCAAACAATATTTTCTATCCCCTAACCCAACCCTAAACCTACCCCTTACAGCAAACATGTTTGCATTCTTACACTTTCAGATAAACATAATTTACTATTTTTAATAATGCTTTTCCCTCGTGGGGGGAAAATTTGGTCCCCACAATGTAGCATAAACAAGTACACACACACACACACACACACA